ATGACAATATTCACAAATGGGCTATTGGACTGTTAACTAGAAAGGTCTTAAAGACTCATGAGCAACACAGCATTTGTCACAAGATGTAAGATGACTCACTTTGTGTCCAGAAACACCTACAAAAATTGGAGATTGATCTACTTTATCATATTTGTGTCTTACGAAATGGCAATTTTTCAAAGTTACGGTTTCTTTAATAAAGGTCAATGGGTCAGTTGCAAACAGCAAATTGTTCGCAATTGCCGACTCATGCACATCATATACTCAAAAACGCTCACATTAGGAGTCATTAGTAAATAACTAATACATGATTTGTGAAAACTCCAACAATTTTTCCTTGGTACAAATTTAAATAAAATGTGTGACGTGCCAGACCAAAATTCAACTTCAAACTTTTTATTTATTCATGCCATGAAACCATAATGAGTTATGTGCCCATCCTTGGAGAACCCGGCGAATGTCCTTGCTGTACGGCAGTGTTAAACAAGGAATTGAAACCGAGGGGTTCCGTTCAGGCCCTTCACACTTTGTTTCTGTCTAGTTCTAATGTACCGTCACAATAGTGACTTTAATATATGTACCAAGAATACCAGACCTAAAATAAATCGGCACTGGATCCGGATCAGATTGTTGCTTGACCGCTGACCAGTACCCCACTGTTTTAATTATGATTGATTTCGCTGCTTCGACCAATGTTGGTCTGTAATCCCTGGATTGAGATTTGTTGGCCGCAGTTTAATTTAGCTAATTTCTTATAAAACCGCAGTGGTCTGGTTCCCACTTCAGAATGACCCCATATTCTTTTTTTCAGTGGCATAGATTTTCCCATCGTTTGATAATGTGTGTCAACTGTCATTCCCTCGTTTTTTAATCAAGTGGTGACTGGCTATTTCTTCTGTTATTACAGCTGTGAGCTGCCTCGAGATCTTATCTGGGGCATGGGCACAAATACTAGAACATTAGAAGATTAGAACTGTAATTCTAGAACTTCAGATTAAGGTTACTTGGCAGAATAGCATTAGCAGGGTTCGAGATTTGACTGAGGGCATTCAGGTAACATACCAGGTTCACATCACCAGTTGAAGTGAATCTTAATTTCGGCATGCAATGCCTTTATGCTTTATAAGTTATAATCTTATAGTAGGATCACAGGGTTTTTATAATAGAAGGTCTCGAGATGCTGATTTAGCTATTTAGATTTCACATGTGACATTTTTCCAGCTTTGGGTAAAGTGGATTTTAGAGCGGGGAGGGGGTCTAAATGACCAAAATCTGAACGATCTCTTACTTACGGGACACTACGGGACAAGGGACGGATCTCGGGCCTAATAGCTGTTTTTTAATGAGAGGCTGGAGTTTGGACCTAGATGGTCAACGTGAGGATAGTATGAGGATTTAGGATGCTCTGCCTGCCTTTCGTGGGGTCTTGTAACCCCTAAAGCTGGTATATCTTATCTAAATTAACCTTGGTTACATCTCGTGCTGTTTCGAATATATAATTAGATTTATAGGTCCAATATCAAGCAAAAAAGTCTGATGTCATGTACTGATGTTACACTTACATGATCTCCGACGCGAGGATCTCCGAAGTCCGATCTTAAAGTTGGATCTCAGAGCCAAAAAGAGGAACGTAAGCCTTGGTTCCTTTCTTTGAGAGTCAAACAGGAAATTCGGGGTTATCAACTCAAACTCGGATTCGTAGCACAATTAAAAAACCAAAGAATAAAAATCTTAATGAATTTCCCGACATTCTAAAATTAATATCAGTTCGTATTCAATTCAGTGGCCCAAACTTCAGTAGGTTACAAGACTTAAGTTCAATTCGAGGAACACTTTGATTAAGCATGATCCTTGTCTAGTTGGAGTTTTCGCATATCATGCAGTAGTTATCTACTAATCACTCCTAAACTGAGCGTTTTAGAGTCGAATCTCGAACCCTGCCATTCGGCCAAGTAATCTTAATCTGAAGTTCTAGAATTACAGTTCTAATGTTCTAGTACTAATGTATTAGTGCCCTACATAAGATCTCGAGGCAGCTGTAATAAAAAAGAGCTAGCCAGTAACCACTTCATTAAAAAACGAGGGAATGACACACATTATCATACGATGGGAAAATCTATGCGAACCAAACCACTGCGGTATTACTATTATGGTAAATGAGCTAAATTAAACTGCAGCCAACAGATCTCAATCCAGGGATTACAGACCAATATTGGTCGAGGCAGTGAAGCAAACGTTGAAGAAGAATTCATAATGAATATAGACAACTACCCCATCAAAAGAGTAACGTCAGCTAGATTTTTAGGAGTCGTCATTGACGAAAATCTAACATGGGAAGAACATATAATAGCCCTAAAACGAAAGCTTAACCATGCCACCTCAACTCTGTGTCGTCTACGCTGCTCCCTCCCAGAATTTCTCCACAGACAGTTATACTACACTCTTTTTGAATCCCATCTGTCGTACTGCATATCAGCATGGGGTGGGGCAGCTAAAAATCGTATAAGCTCAATATTCACCGCACAGAAGTACTGTCTGAGGGTCTTGTTTGGTGATAGAGCAGCCTACCTGGATAAATTCAAAACGTGTGTTCGAACCAGACCATTTACTGACCAGAAACTTGATAGTAAATTTTATAAAAAGGAGCACACTAAACCTCTGTTTAAAAACAACGAGATACTCACTGTACAAAATCTTTATACTTACCATAGCTACATAGAATTATTCAAGATCATGAAGTTTTCTACTCCTATGTCTATGTACGAAGAGTATTCTCGTTCTTCCAGGAAACCAATGCTTATTATCAATAAACCGGATCCCCCAGACAACCATAACACGAGGTCAACGAAAATATGGAATATAATAACCCCTAACCTTAAAATCTTTGATTGTTCTGTTAGTATTTCTTGCCTGAAATCCAAGCTGAAATCTTCACTACTTTCCAACCAGCATTGTCATGCCGTGTATGACTGGACAAATAAAGACTTTGATATATGTAACCTTAAATTTTCGTAGGCTCCTGCAGGGATTCCACCTGACCTCCAAAATTTCATGACCAAATCGACTTACTCTGCCAGCGTATTCCTCTGTCAAGTTAAATGTGATGTGTGAGTGAGTAAGTGTAGTGTAAAGATATCCTATTTTTGTATCCAATTTGAATTCTAATAAAGACCCTAAGCATTATGATCAAATTTTTAGTACAATAGTTATATCAGGGTTGACATCTATGATTAATATTATAACCCAATATTCATTTATTTTTCTCCCTTAAATTTAAACCCCTCTTAGACATTTAGCCATGATTTAGTATTGAACACCCGGGTGCACCCAAAATACTTACCGTCCTTAATAATCGTAAAGACCATTTGTTACAAAATAGCTGCTAGAATAATGCATGCCAAATATTCCCTCTTACACCCACAAATTATAATGCCTTCCTATCAACGCCTCTAATTTGGTCACTAATCAACCAGACTAGCGTTCTGGTGTGTACAAAAGCTACCAGCCAGTACATTCCTTGCCCCGCTAGTTGATTGTCAAAAAATCATACAGCTCAGAACAAACGGCCATTTACCACTAAGAGCATTATATGTTTTCATTTGTTTAAATTTTATGCTGTAAAATGTGCTAAGACTTTGATTATTTGTTTAATTGATTATTTGTTTAATTGAAGTCAATTATGATTATAAAGTGGGGTACTTATACTGGTCAGTGGTCAAGCGTCAATCTGGCCCGGATCCAGTGCCGATTTATTTTAGGTCCGGTATTCATGGAACATATATCATGGTTTCATGGCATGAATAAATAAAAAGTTTGAAGTTGAATTTTGGTCTGGCACGTCACACATTTCATTTAAATTGGTACCAAGGAAAAATTGTTGGAGTTTTCACAAATCATGTATTAGTTATTTACTAATGACTCCTAAAGTGAGCGTTTTTGAGTATATGATGTGCATAAGTCGGCAATTGCGAACAATTTGCTGTTTGCAACTGACCCATTGACCTTTAAATTAAAGAAACCGTAATTTTGAAAAATTACCATTTCGTAAGACACAAATATGCTGCTGGACTGGCCCATTAAAAGAGATGCCCAATAAAGTAGATCATTCTCCAATTTTTGTAGGTGTTTCTGGACACAAAGTGAGTCATCTTACATCTTGTGACAAATGCTGTGTTGTTCATGAGTCTTTAAGACCTTTCTAGTTAACAGTCCAATAGCCCATTTGTGAATATTGTCATTGTTTGCTCGACAAAAATCCGTTTTTCAGCCACATTTCCGAAAATAAGCCTTTTAGGGTATATGTTGCTTCATAAGTTGTATATAAATGTGGCTATTAGGCACATTTTGTTGTATCAGAATAGTCTCTACGACCTTCCTAGGCGGAAATGCCAAAAATCACGGAAATTATGAACTGCGTCAAGCCAAAAACCGTTTTTCGGCCATATTTCCGAAACAAAGCATTTTAAGGTATATGTTGCTTCATAAGTTGTTTATAAATGTGGCTATTAGGCACATTTTGGTGTATCGGAATAGTCTTTAAGACCTTCCTGGGCTGAAATACAATAATTCGAGTGACCGCGAAACCCTGAAAAAGGGTGTGGCCGAAAACGCCCTCATTGCATGTATTTCAACCTTGCCATGAAGTCCAAATGTTTTAAGAATCATCTAGAGAGGTGATAACCGTCGAGAAATCGCTTTTAACACGAAAAGCTAACGAGATTCCGTTTCGTCTCGGACTATTAGGCTGATAGAAGGAAAACTATTGATACTTCTGGCTAGTATAATTAATGTGAATGCATATTCTCTGAACAAGCATGTATGACACATGCCTGTGGGACAGTTCTCCTCATCAGTGTTCACATTTTCTTTCTTGTTCTTACTTCCAGTCCTATTTTTCAGAGAAAAGAAAGTTAGTTTCCATGGTAAAGCGAAGTTCGTGCTCACTAGAGCTTTCTTTGGTGCTATAGGTGGAATTTTTTAAATACTGGGCAGCCATAGAAATGGATTGCGGTGATGGTGTGGCCCTTAATTCATTATCTCCCATCTTCGTGGCTTTGTTCTCCCGAGTCCTCTGGAAAGAGAAATTGAGTATCTTCACTCCAGTTGCCCTATTTATCGGTTTAACAGGTGTTGTTCTTGTTGTAAAGCCGACTTTTTTGTTTGGCATTTTGGTGGAGTCACAAGTAAAGGAATTTAACCCGTTCATGAAGTTGGTTCCTATAGCTGGTGGCATTATCTATGGATTTGCGTTCAGTTGCATGAGAAAAGTTGGTACCAAGGTTAGCTCCATATTAGTCTCACTGCTTGTGTCAATAATTGTTGTTCCGGATGGGATTATATTTCAACTGATCTATGAGGATAAGTTTGTTCTTCCTGGGTGTTTTACAGATAGGTTGGTCATCTTTCATGTCCAAACAAGGGCTCACTCATGTCCAAACAAGGGCTCACCATCCTTTAAGCCTTCCTGTGTAAATTGCAAGAAATCTAAGAGAACTGATGAGCAATACACACACTCAGCTACAGACAGAACATGCCCTACCTATGTGTCTGAACAACATAAGCTTAAGAAATCAATTTCATATTACACTTCAAAAACTGGTGAAGAACAAGACTGGAGTTAAAATCCTAAGTATGAAGTGTGCAAGCTGGAATGTACGCTCCCTCAACAACAAAGTCGAGCATGTTATGAACTTTTTAGAAGATAACGACATTTCTCTTTTCTTTGTTACAGAAACATGGCTGACTGATGCAAACAACAACACCACTGCAAAAATAAAAGACCACGGGTATAAACTTTACCAAATGCATCGCAAGAATAAATGAGGTGGAGGTGTTGCCATAATCTACAAATCATGTGTTCGGCTAGTCAAAGTTTTTGCCAACAATGATGGATCATTTGAGGCAATTAACGCTAAACTGAAACTGTTTGATGGGTCTGTCGTTTTCTGCTCCTGCATCTATCGTCCACCTGGGCCCTTGGGAAGGTTCCTGTCTGATTTTGAAGACTTCTTGACTGAAGTATTTTCAAAATACAAGCATTTCTTGCTATGTGGAGATGTTAATATGCACCTAGATAGAATCTCTGCCCATGTGAGTGAGTGGAACACCATACTCTCATCTTTTGGACTCCATCAACTTGTCTCCTCGCCAACACATAAAAAAGGTCACATTCTTGATCCTGTCATTTCTTCACACAAGGTAGTAGATCATAATTCTGTTGAGGTGATACAAAACATGGTCAAAAGTTTCCCATCTTGTGACCACTATCCAATTTTATTTCAGCTTCATAAGCCTCCAGACATTGACAAATGTGAGAAAATCATACGTTTCAGAAAGATCAGAGACATCGATCAGGAGCTATTTAAAGGTGATTTATCAATTGCTCTTTCTGAGTTGGTCTTCGAAGAAAAGAGCTTCTGTGAAGTTGTTAATCAATTCAATAATGGATGCCAAAACATTCTCAATTTACATGCTCCAGAATATTCCAAAACCATCAAAGATATTCCCGTGCTGCTCCCTGGTTTGATGGCGATTACAAAGTTGCAAGAGTTGATAGAAGAAAGGCTGAGAAAGCCTGGAAAAAGTCAAGTCTTGAAATTGATCATTCTATCTTTGTTCATTTGCGAGAGCACTGTTCAGAGCTGACCCTCAAAAAGAAAAAGCTGTTCTTCTCTAATACTTTCCAAAAATACAAACACTCACAAAAGAGCCTTTACAAATTTGTGGACACTTTCCTGGATAAAGAAAAGAACCTCACATTGCCATCTTCAGAAGATCTCCAGGAAACAGTAAATGCCTTTAACCAGTATTTTACTGAAAAAATTGAGAAAATCAGATCATCATTTCCCAACACTACTGTGACTAATAGCTCTGCAAACTTCAATGGCCAGGTATTATCTGAATTTAGAAAAGCCACTATTTTTTAAGTAAGAGAATTGATCAAAGAATCTGGCATCAAAACCTCATCAATTGATCCATTACCTAAAGAACTCCTGTCAGAGCACCTTGAACTAATCCTCCCTACTCTCTGTGATATTATCAACGTTTCCCTTTCAACCGGAAGTATGGAGGGAATCAAACTAGCACATCTCACTCCCCTAATCAAAGGTGACTCCCTGGATACTGAGAATTTAAAGAATTATAGGCCCATCTCTAATCTTCCATTCATTGGTAAACTCATAGAGCGCTTTGTATCAAAATGCCTAAATGAACATCTAGCCAAGAACAATTTAGACATTGACCACCAGTCTGGTTACAAAAAGCATCACAGCACAGAAACACTCCTCATTACCATAGTCAATGACCTCCTTGTAGCCAGTAATGAAAATACTGCGACAGTTGTGATGCTTTTAGACCTAAGTGCTGCATTCGACACTGTTGATCACAGAAAATTAATCAACATATTGAAGTGTGAGATTGGGATCGAGGGAACTGCCTTAAAATGGTTTACCAGCTTCATCCATGGTCGTTGTCAAAAAGTAAAGATCGGTGACCTAGAATCTGAAGAAATTGTTATAAAATTTGGTGTCCCACAAGGCTCTGTCCTCGGCCCTGTTTTGTTCAATATCTACATCCGCTCAATATATTCGACTGTAAAATCAAAGCAATTCCTCATCCATGGCTATGCTGACGATCATCAGATTTACAAGTCATTTTCCACTCCTACAGAATATCACGTCCTGAGCGAAAACCTGCCCTCCTGCTTTCAAGAAATTGAGAGCTGGATGGCAGATCACTTCCTTCTACTAAATCCGACAAAAACTGAGATCATGGTTTTTGGTTCAAAACGTCTTTTGTCGGAGTTGGAAATTGGTGGTGTCTTCCTTAAACCTTCTGTCTGCATAAGACTTGTCAATGTTACTAAAAACCTTGGCTTCACATTGGACTCCACACTAACATTTAATCCTCAAATAAAGAAGCTCAAAGCTGCAAACTGCCACAAGATGCGAAACATTGCAAAAATGAAACCATTCCTCTCTGAAACTCAAATGCAAATCATCGTGCAATCTCTTATCATCAGTTCCCTTGACTACTGTAATGCACTTTACTTTGGAGCTAATCATTCTGTTTTGAAACAGCTACAATCTCTGCAAAACAGAGCATGCCGATTAGTCAAAGGTCTAAAGAAGAGAGAAGAAGTTGATCCCTACATAAAAGAACTTCATTGGCTCAAGGTACAAGAACGTATTGAATTTAAAATACTCCTGTTAACCTTCAAACTGCTCCATGGGCTAGCACCTTCATACCTGTCAAACCTTGTTAAGTACAATTCCAGTGGTGGAAGAGATGTGTCTCTTCATTGCCCCATAAACAGTCCACCCAGAGCCTTCTCTTCATCTGCTCCAAGATTATGGAACAATCTTCCTCAAGAAATTACGAAATGTGTAAACATCAAGGACTTTAAGGGAAAACTTAAAGCTCACCTGTTTAGAAAGTCCTTTGATTTGTACTGAGTAACTAATCCTTTATTGAAGGTTAAAATTTAATTAAAATGTTTATCTTATAGCAGGTCAATTTCACGCTTCAAATTAAATTATTTTAGGCTATTAGTTTTCAAGGATTTTTGGGCAACATTTAAGATAATAATCTTTTTTTTTTGCGTTTCACTGTGTCTGCCAACAAAATTGTAGTGTAGGTCGGAAAAGGAGGCTCTATCCTGGGACACCAACATTTTTTGGGTTGGCACCCGGGAGAAAGCTACCTTATTCTTTGTATTTTGTCTCAAGTACTAGAGCATCTTTTTCTTCTCTTTTTTACTGTCTCTACTTTTATGTTGCCCAGATTGTTTGGTATGACTCTATTGGATTTTCAGATATAATCTTTATCATCAGTTACTGTTCTGCAGTAAACTTCTTCAATCAATTTTTATTGTATATTGGAAACTTCAGATTGTTTGTATATTTGGAGTCTATAGAATTTCTATGGATTTTTTAAGGAATTTTTCTTGAGTTTTTATAGAATTTTTAATATATCAGGGAATTTCATTTTTATAAACCTGATTTTTAAATTTGTTAGGCTGTTGAGTTTCATACTGCGTTTTCTTGTAGTCATTATCCTTTCCTCTAGTCCTCTGTTAGAAAACCTGCTAACCCTTCTTGGATATCTGCTTGTTAGGTGCATCTGCCTTATTTAGTCACGTTATATTTTACAGTTTTTATCGCCTGTTTTCTGAACAGTTTCTTGTTCCACCTCCGTCTAAGGCAAAGATGCACACTCTCGTTAATTTAAGTATCATTTACAGCTGTGCATAAGGGTTAAATTTAAATTATTTAACCTTTTGGTGCTGTATAGAAATAACATTAATTTATTATTTATTATTATTATCTGTGTTGCAGGATTTGGTTTGTGTGCTGCTCTTCTCCTTTCAAATCGTGGATTGGCCATAGAGAAATCTGGTCCAGGGGTTCTCATCAGAAATTGTGATATAGTTGTTGCATATGCTATTCAGGTTGTGTTCTTTTACAGTATTCCTGATGTGCTGAGTGTTTGTGGAGCACTACTGGTAATTTCCAGTGCTGTCATAGTCACTGCGAACAAGCTGTTCTTCGAGAAATGTTGTAAATACGAGTTATTATTATTCCATTTATAATGTGGTAAACATAATTGGCAGAAATGTTGGTCCCAAGATTATCGGCCGATGTGAACATGGGGGGGTTGCTGCGATTAAAGAAATATCGCTACTTTCAATTAGCATGTAAGCGTTTTATATTAGGACGTTTTATTGTTCCAGATTATTAAAATTAGAGCTTTTGGTCCCTAGATAAGTTTTTCATGACTCCATTATTCATCGAACTTGAATATTGCACAATAATTAAATTTAAATTATTAGCTATCAAGATTTAATACTAATATTGTACAACATTATTAGTTTTCAACTAGCACATCACATTAGCACACAAATGAAAAATAATCCCAAAAATGTTCAATCTTCTGGTTGTTTGGATCGCCTATCCTACTTAACGTTATGTTATGAAATGTACGCGAAGGTTTGTTTCTTGCTTGCCGATACCATGGTGTTATATACCAAATACACAATATAGTCAAAACCTTCTGTTTTTAATACTATTTGTGTCAGATGATATTTGTACAGAAATTCCCCGAAATTTCCAAGGTTCTAATTATTATTAAATCACAAAGAATGAGCTATTGAAAACAGGTAGACGTCAAGCCCAAATTATCAAAATTACACAGATTTTTGTTAATTATTTAGCTACAGCCGTTTTTAAATAGCGATATCTCCGCAATCCAAAGTTTTTTCCAAGAGTTTGGCCGTGTGTTTCTGAGATCAGCAGCTAATCTATACAGTATACAATGATACCAAATATTTTAAAAATCCTGGATTTAACTAAATCTTTCCGTGTTTTCTGTATTTATTACTTTTTCTAAGGTAAATTTAATAATCTTAGTTTTTTCTGAATTTTTCGTCTGATAAAAAGTATTGATATAATAAATTGTAACCCACATTTTAATTATAGTTGTATTTATAGATATATTTTTTTACGTTTTTTGAATTTGATTAAAATATTTTTTTAAAAATGAATATGATGTAGTTACTTGAAACTTAAATGTGACAGCAGTCAGCTAATCTTTTTGAAGATTTTAGATTTGCATAAAATTGAATTTTACTCGATAGAAGCACTGAACCAGAACGTTCTTGAAAACATTTATTTCTAAAATATAACCTTTTATTTTTTTCTTGCAGTCCTTTTTATAACAATAATGAAGATAATTTTAATGAGGGGTAAAATTATAAGTGATGGTTTTTTGCACCCTTATTAAAATATTCTTTTGTATTGTGATACTTCAGTTAAATTAATGATTGTTTGGTGATTTTTCAGCTTAAAGGGTGAGTAAATGCGGTTTTACGACACATGTTTAGTGCTCTGTTATCCAAACAGTTTAATTAAGCAACAATTTAGTCGAAGTTTGAATCTATACTACTTCCTAACACCCACTAGCGCTAAAATAAAAAATGACTTAAGATGTCCAAGCGGGCCCCCTCCCCATTAGCAAGCGGCCAAGCAGCCTCAAATCCAACTCTGATTTGAACACTTGCACTGTGTTCTTGCTGTGTTTGTGTGTCTGTTACGTTTCTCCAAACTTTTATTGTTTATTTTCTTAGATTAATCTTTTATTCTTCCGATTAGCCACAAAACAAATATTTTGCTTGAAGTTTAACAGAAAGTCCATAAATAATATACAATTACACGTCAATGTCACGCAGTGAACCTCAAAATAAGGAAATTGGTAGCTTCAACAAGCCATTATAGTACTAGTCGTTTACCAGTAAAGCTATAGTCGTTACCAGTATGCTAATAGTTGTTACCGAATAGCTAATAGTCGTACCATATAGCTAATATCGTTTAACCATATGCTAATATCGTTACAGTATAGCTAATAGTATATTACTTATAGTATAGCGAATAGTTGTTACTAGTATAGCTAATAGTCGTTACCAGTTAAGCTAATAGTCCGTACCATTATTAGCTAAAAGTGTTAGGACCAGTATAGCTAATAGTCCCGTTTACAGTATAGCTAATAGTCGTTTACCCGTATAGCTAATAGTTGATACCAGTATAGCTAATAGTCCGTTGACCAGTATACTAATAGCTTACATATAGCTAATAGTCGTTACCAGTATAGCTAATAGTCGTTACCAGTATAGCAAATAGTTGTCTACCAGTATAGCTAATAGTCGTTACCAGTATAGCATATCGTTACAGTATAGCTAATAGTGGTTACCAGTATAGATAATAGTCGTTTACCAGTATAGCTAATAGTCCTTACCATATAGCTAATAGTCGTTAACCAGTATAGCTAATAGTTTCCTTACCAGTATAGCTAATAGTCGGTACAGTTATATCTAATAGTCGTTTTACCATTATAGCTAATAGTTAGTTACCATATAGCTAATAGTCTTTCCATATAGCTAATAGTCCGTTACCAGTATAGCTAATAACGTGGTTACCAGTATCGCTAATAGTCGTTACCAGTAGAGCTAATAGTTATACCATATAGCTAATAGTTGTTACCAGTATAGCTAATAGTTTATTACCAGTATAGCGAATAGTCGTATACCATAATAGCTAATATCGTTTACAGTATAGCTAATAGTTGTTACCATCAAACACAGTTCAATAGAATAAAATAAGACGGTAACTAAAACGAGAATACGGCAAAATATACATGTTAGGAATGATGAGGGCCAACAGTGAATTTTAAATTACATATAACTTAATAATAATAACATGCCGGCAAATTTGACCTAAGTTCTTATGCCGGAAAATCTTATAATAAGAGTACATAACATTTTGAACAAAATTAGGAAATCTGACGTGCCTAAAATAATCAAAATAAAGCACTATAAATCAATACACAAAGACTGAAATAACACGATAATTAATAGTAGGCAGTAAGAATGGGGGACCGCTTGATGTTTGACCGGGGGGCGCGAGAGGCGTGAGGGTAGAAGCAAGCGTATATCTTGAAGTAATTTGTGTGATAGAAAGTTCGTTTTTGATGTATATAACTTTTGGGCAATCATCTGCCTTCAAGAAGATAAATTTTTATAATAGACGACAGTCAAATCTCACATTTTACACAACCCCTTTAAACATCTTTCGTACCTTATCTCGTTGGAATTCAGTGCAAAAATTTTTTACGCTATTCAGCTAAAAATCAGTTACAAAATATGACAGCATCTCTAAAAGAATTTCTCACCTGGTTGGGGAAGTTGCCTTAAATCATAAATCCTTCTAACTTATCATTGTCTAGTATTAGGGTAGTAATATAGCACTAAACGCTGAAAAGATGTTGTTACGATCAAAAGTCCGAGAGTTTTTCCTCGCTACTGCCAGTGCTGAATGCCCGCCCCACAAACTACTGCGCTGCCCCAGATCATCCAAGCTCGCTGTAATTATCTGTTTTAACTTGTTATTATGCTGGTTCACTATAGTCATCTGATTATAAGATATGTCAGACAATTCCAGAATACCCTTATCTCGATCTCCGATAAGTGACGTCACTTACGACATTAAAATAACATCAACATAATATCAGCAATCGAGAAAATGGAGTAAGAAATATGAGTGGTGCAAGTCCATAGACACGAAGTTTCTGGCGTGGCAATGGAGAGATGGCACCCCATCTCTACACGGAGATATGCCCCAGACCAGCATTCAGGGATGAAGACAAAAATCAAATTGGAAGTCTCAAACTGATGCAATCGACAGGAATGCTAGACAAAACGTAAAAGAAACTTTGCTTGAAGCCGTTCGCGTTATCAGCTCTTAATTCTAAACATAATATCAACGTTTTGTAACCTTTATTTCTCATCATGTTTATGATAGATAGTAGATACACATAAAACAGATAAGTAAGACTAACAAAGATCTTCCCTCCATTACCACCGTACATGATTAATGGTGGCCTAGTTCAGGCATTGTCCCTGTACTTGGCAAAGTATACACTTACGGTCTTGCTCTGCTTCGGGACCCGTTCGTGACAAGTAAAACGCTGCTGCTGCCATCGAGATCCGATCTCGGAACTGTCCCTGAAGGTAATTGGATCCCAGTGGCCGTTGCAGTGTTATTATAATAATTTCTCTTCGTAAGTTTTTCGTCCTTATAATGTATATATATACTATATATATATATACTATATTATATATATATTATATTATATATAATATAATATATTATTAATGTATATATATTTATCTCTTATGACTGAGTTGAATTAAGCGCACTAAAACACTTTACTCACAGGAAAGAATGCTGTTTCACGTGCGAGGTAAGCCTCTGTTCATCACATCGACCCAGGCTGAGATTGACAAGTCAACGGCCGCAAATGTGTCCCAAATGCGAGACCCTCAAACTGATGCCGAGAGGTAATGTTAATTGTTTATGGACTTATTTTTTAAAAGGGCTATTTTCGTGTTTTGTAGCTGTCTTGAGCTATTAGTGCACAATCACTCAGGGCTTCAATTAATAATTAAGGGGCCGGACCTGGCTGGGAGTCTGAATTTAAGAGCTACAGACAAATTGATTGGATTTTCATGACATTTCTCAGAGAGAAGGATGATTTTCTATAATTTTAAATTTAAGCGTTATAAGCACCAATACCCCTACCAAAATCATAACAAATAAATCATTTGATGCATAACCCAACACAAAGTAAGGGATTGGCGGTACACCTATTCTCTATTACTAAAACCCGTGTATTGTCAGGTGTGGTGAAACGAGAATTTTCTAATCTTCTGGAGTGTGTACACAGCTGGGTTGTGGTTCCCATCTCTCATGCTGGGATTGAAGATATTACTGCCTTGTCATGTGCTCATTACGACACCATTGTGAATTATAAGAAGGTCGATCTTGTGATTGTTTTTATGCCGTAAAAATAGTGAACGTGTTATTTTTTATCCGTTATCTTGCCAGGTGCTTAATATGTACAGTAATTTTACCAATTTGTAACACAACTAGCCCAATACTTAGAAAGTACAGTCGTTTGATCACAATCTGTGTAAACCAGCAAAATAAAAAACGTTTACTCATACCACTGTTTTTTTTCAGATGCGCCCGAATAAAGAATGGACCAGCGCCCCTCAATTTAGAGGTTCCAAAACACGAATTCATCACGAAGATATAGTGTAACATCGGTAAAGAAGATAATAAAGACGCTCCCGTTCTTTATTTTCGCTTTTTTAAACTACTAAAGCTCAAATCTACCTGAGGCCCGACCCTATACATGGAAGATTTCGGAGAACTTATTTTGAGATTTTTTTAGTATGATTCCCGCGACAGAGTTCTTGTTTCCTTACGTGGCCTAACTGACAAATGAAATGGAATTATTGATTAACTTTAATTCGGAAATAGATTGTGATTGTACATTATACTGCGGAATTTTCAGTTTTGTACATTGGAAAACTTCGTCCATCAATTTGTTATTAAAAGACACATAGCACGGTTCCCAGAGACTCATTTGTCATGAAATCAAATCAATCAAATGATTAAGACATATCTCAAGAGTCAATAAATATCTGTAAAACTGTAAGAATAATGGAGTGAAATAGCAATCAATATTTATTAGTTACGTTAGACGAGTTCGTAATCATGTAATGAACCTATTTTTCAAAAGAGTGATATCTTGAAAAAATACATTTGTGCTTGTTCTTCTTTTCCTAATAATTACACCTCAGTTACAATAGGAACACAACTGCTGTTTTAAACATATCTCCATCCATGTCCACATAGTTGTGAAAGAATAGTCCGGAATTGCTCACTTCCGCGTAGGCCGCAAAAGACAACGATAAGTCGAAAAATGTGACACTGTTGCGATCCTTATAAGTGGGCGTCCATCAGTTTCTTACAGCGCGGCTCACCCACAAGCGCCCGGCAACAGCCAACGAGCTATACCTTCCAAATTGCGATCCGGCGTAGGTGGTCCTCTCCAGGTTTGTCCTCGGTGTCATTTGATATGCCGCCCTCACCGCCTACGTGGTAAGTCGGACGAATAGATCTCGTTCTGTTGATCTGAACAAAACCCTTGTTCTCCTTCATCTGTGATATTCCAACACTGTTCAGCGCTCACTACCTCTTGCATAGGTTCAAGGTGTCTGTTGACTAATGGGCTCGATCCTCAGTAGAAGTACCTTCAATTTTATCCTTGTTACGAAAACGTTTTTGCAAAAATGCACTTAATTTATCTTACTTTTCATCATAGAAGTCCTATCAATCCATACACCAATACCGATAACCGGCACTTTTTAAGGTAAGCTTGTCTTGTCTGACCGGAGCAGATAATCCTTCCAGTAATTTTACATGACTACTTTCTTCGTAAATGTCATTAAAATGTTGTGTCAGAAGAATCCCCAATCAAAATAAACTATCATCTCATCATAAATAATGTGCACCATTATTCACGTCTAACCTTGTTTTGCGTAAATGCAACAAACTCATATTATCGCTTAGGCTCATCAAACCAGGAACAACCAAATGTACCTAAAATTCGTTGTCAAGCACAATCGCTTCAAATAATATGTAGTTTTGATTTCACCAGCTCAATCACCGATTTTTTACATAACGTAACGACTGGCATTTAACTTTTTCTTATATAAATACTTATTGATAGTAAACCAGCCCCTAATTAATAATGACTGATCATTTTCTAGATAGAGCTGCTATAAGAAGGGGCAACAAAAACACATCGGGTCATAATCATGTTAGATATTACGTTCGAGAAAACTGGAATTTGTCATGATGAAAACATGGTGACAATCCTCTATTTGATAATGAACGTGACCAGTATTATATTTGATCGTAACTATTAACTGGATAGGGGAAGCCCGTCGCGTCCGCGTCATATAGTCGGAACTCTTGCGACAGTCTCAATAATTGGATAATAAAAATTACGCACATTATGATTTGATGAGGCTAAATAGTTCTGTAAATGATACGGAATTAAACTGCAATTTATCATGATACTAAAATGTTATGTTAACCTCGACCAATATGTAATTAGATATAAGCCATAGAGTGACCAATTTGGTTAACTCGTCCCCTTGAAACCTATAAAGTAAAATAAACTCATTTTCAGGGGTTAACTGAAAACTATAAGTTCAAGCATAATTACCTACGCATAAAGCAGCAATCTCCCATTTGTTATCAGCTGACCTGTTATAGTATTACTATAACAGTTAAACTATATCAAAGTCAGGAAGCCCTGGCTTTTAACCTGATTTATTTGTGGAGTAAATTTTCGTCAGTTCAGAAGAAATTAGAATTAAGAAAAAAAATTGTAAACCGATATTTAATTCACGCCTTTAAATTAAACAAGATTTCGTTTTTAATTGAGCATCCGGCTTAACGTAATATTGTATAATCATGTCGACTAACAATTACAAGATGGATCAAAATTAACACAACGTACAGATGGCCCACGTCGATATACCCGACTCCTAATTATTCGAAACATAAAAACTGTGTGAGTCAACCTACCAAATATTTACAAAACTATTTTTCAATGTTGCAGTCGTTTTCATTTAACGATCAATCGAGAAGCACAAAAAGATCAATAAAACGCTCGCCATGTGCTCTAGCTGTCGAATTGATCACGTGAAAAACACAATTAGTTTTAATGGCATTGAGCGTAAACAGAGACAAGTAGCTTTTCAAATAACTCCAAAAAAAATCAAAACCAACTCATTTAATCTGACATTATAACAGAAAGTCTACGGCGCAATTTAGAAGCATCAATAGAACACAGATGTCATTGACTTTTAACCAGTTTTTAATTTTAGTCTATATCTGTATGGGACGGTTGCTGGTACTGTAGAGTGAGATGTATGAGATTATTTCGATCAGAGCTTTCAATCTGAATCGCTATCAGAATTTCCAAGAAATCTTTCCAAACAGACACTGAGGTGTATAACTGTCAACACCTGATTTTACTCAATAAAACATTATGGTACTATGAAAAATTACATAGTTTCTGACGAGAAAAAGCTATGAATATGGTTGAAAAATTCAAGATCTTAAGTACCTGAATGACAGTAGCAACAGATTTAATGCACTGAATTTCGTTGTCCCTCCCCGCACTGCTCTGCCTACTGCCCTAATTGATTTCACGGAGCCACTACCTGATGGGGTCACAGTTAGCACTATCGGATATTTTAAAACAGACAGTATACTAAATAAATGTTGTATGTGAGAAATGGTGCATTGAGAAATAACGTACAAATTAGATGATTCACGCATGCCTGGATTATTTACGGTTTGGTTTTCCGAATTGTCTACTTACACTAGATTCACAAGAAACTGAGCATTCCTTTACGATCTAGAGGATTACATCTTGAAGCCTACATATTTTAAGATCCTGGTGGACAAAAACTGTGTTATCAAATGAGACCTCCGTTTTTAAATCACGATGATTCTTAGTGATTGTACATTATAATTAATAGAAAATTTAGTTATATCCAAAATGATTTTTCCTTATTATAAAGATACTCAATCCCAATACCAAAGTCACCTCATAATCCTCTCTCTCTAGGATTGAAGACCATAAGATGGTGAAGGTAGATGTACGTCGTACAGTGGCTATCATCATAGGACGCTGCTAGTCGCAATGCGTTCGTCATCCCTAGTGCACAACAGATTGATGAACTACAGGTTTGGCGATATTATCTACCTAATTGATCTGATATTTCGCCTTAACCTTTTAAATTTTAATTTTTCATTGTCACCAATTCTAATTAAAACTGAAAGTTTGAGATGAAATTAAGTATACCTGCAATGATGAGGTCTGTCTCGCTGATCAGTCAGGTCCATATGTAGTCATGGCGCAGGAACAAACTCGCCGATCTGACCCGTAGTCACTGAAATTGGTATTCCAGGTACTTTTGTTTTTCGTTCAGTAATCTCCAGTTTTCACCGAACTGACCAACATATCCCTCAACGATATCTTTCTATTGTTTAATACAAATAGCCAGTGGCAACACAGCTGTGTTGAATTTTTTTCTTACCTGTCATGATATAGACCCTTTGTTAGGTGTGAATTTTAATTATGTCACGATGGAACCATTATCAATCTTTAAGGAACCGCTGCATGTCCGGTTCCCCGTTCCTCATCATTTGTCGAAATGAATCTAAAGGGGAACTGGTGATTGAATCTCTTAAAACTTAATATTTTAAAACTTCAACTCAATTTTTGCAGTGTATTTGCACTTAAACTTTAAGGTTTTAACTGAGTTGATTGATCAAAGTCTGACCTGTTTTCACAATGAAAGAAAGTTGTAGGGCAAATCTATTCCTGAAATAAATCCAAGTTTAGAGTGCTAGCAATTTGTGTAATTATAATCGACAATTTATATGATTGAAAATGTCTTTGCTTCTTTAAACCTTTGTAGTCCATCAACAGAACTAAACTAATATCCGACTTCACTCACTGTATTTTCCAAAGGAAGCGTTGTCTTAGCACAACCATCTGTGACAATGCGTCTTTATTGATTTGGTGGTTTCTCATAGTAACCCCGACTTTGATCATCGTCCCTCATCAGCATCTCCGTTTCTCTCCGTTTCAGCTTCTGTAGCGGCCTCCGTTGCTGTCAGGTTGTCGCTGATGTTTCCGGCAGCGGCTCAGTTTCAGCTTCTTCTGTTGTATTTTGTGCTAAGGCTTCTGTTAGATTCGTTACAGATGGTTCTGGGTCCTCTACTTGCCTCTTCCTCTACTGCCTCTTCTTCTTCCTCTGCAGCCTCGTCTTCTTCTGCGTCTCCTCTTCTCAACTCCCGCTTTCTTCTTTCTCAACCTCTTCTTCAACTTCCGCTTCTCCGATTTCACTTCGTGAAGGTGAAGACGCTTGGTGTTTCGGGCCACTGAAAATAGTCAATAAGTTTGGTGCTTTACAATACATATTATGTAAGTAACTCTCGAGCTCCTGATCACGAAAGTAAAAATAAGTAGACTGCATTTTTATATCATAGGTGAACTGTGAACTGGTGAAGTAGTAGGCATAATATAGCTGTGAAAAAATCAATATGGTAGCCTACCTTCGACGGGGCCAACTGGTGAACTGTCGATCATGATACCATCGTATTCTGTACTGGCAATGTTCTTACCAAATGTTGTCATACAGACCGTCATGTTCTGGCCAG